TATATATATATATATATCATAAGCATTACCTTGCCCTTCTGTTTTGAAACCAAACTTCGACTTGTCGTGGACGAAGATTTAACTGCTTTGCTAAAGCTTGCTTTTGTTTCTGCAAAAATAATGGATAAATAATATTAGTCCCATTTTAAGAAAAATGTATTCATAGCCCAAATAATAATAACAGAATACACTTTCGCAACATATTTTCAACTACCTATAGTTTCAAAACCATACAATTAAAATGTAAATGACATGATGACGTGCAACATTTATCATGTCATAAAGATATATTTTCACAAAAAAGTTGGTGTTAATATAATGCATCCCATAACATATAATCAATGAAATAGTACAAACATAACATACGCTTCTTGACAAAGTAGCACAGAATATTTACTACACCCAAATCATTTATTTCTTGTACTTGTGTCTTTGTGAGATATATTATGATGGGTGCATTGATGTTTGGCCGGATACATTCGGACCATCTTATAATATGATCATAACGAATGGGACCAGAAGTTTCTTGATCCACATACAAATAATATTATCTTAAATTTTGATAAAGACCAGAAAGTCTCACAGCTAACTGATACTAACTTGAGTTTATTCGATTTAATAATAATAATAATAATAAAGAAGCTTCGAGTTCTTGGGTTTGAAGCTATAATGTGTGTTTAGAGGCATATGCAAAATCTTGAGCTTGAATGCCACAGTTCGTAAATTCACGAGACCCATGAGTTTAAATGGTAGATATCCCAAGATCATGTTAAAAAACTTCAAAAAAGATGACATCTTTTGCGACTTCAGACATATATACACATAATTTAGACTGTGTACATATGTTCAAGCCCTAAACTCCAAGAACTAAGAATCTATTGTATGCTTTCACTTTTTAATGTTTCTACCCAATAAAAATTAACATGGTTTCACCGAAAAACTTTTTAATCTGAATCAAATATGATATAATTAATACCATCCAATTTCTTATATAAATTACGAACGATTTGAACACTTCAATCCCAAGATGAAATCTGCATGCCAATATCAAAAGAGAGAGAGAGAGAGAGAGAGAGAGAGAGAGAGAGAGAGACTTACAGGGTTGAGGGTACTGTGTTCTTTGAAGCTATCTTCAAGAAAAGCAGATTGTTCTTTAGTGAGTCGGAGCTTTTTTCGGGTCAACCCGTTTTCATCTTCATCACTCATACCACCTCCTCTTGAAGAAGCTCTTTGATCACTTTCGGTAGCCTCTACCAACTCCAAATTAACTGTTGCTAGATCCAAATCTCTTTTCCTCGAATGGAATGATCTTCCACAGTTACTGCTTTTGAAGATGGAAGAGAAATCCATCTGAAAGGATGACGTACCACTGTTACTGTTGTTCGGAGATGACTCTCCGCCGGCGGTTTCTTCCATGTTTTCCTGATCAGACACAACCGCCAACGGCATAACATCAAGAACTTGCACCGCTTTATTCTGTGAACCCATTTCTGCTATCACTGTTCCACAAGCAAGATCAAATAATTAAAATCAACGAAGCAAAAACTGAAACATTAATTTGGATAAAAAATCTCAATTATGAATGTTGGGTTTTACAGTTTTTTGAGAGCCACGGGAAGGACCGGTGAGAAGTCGTTGGTGGTGGTGCAGATCGGAGAACAGGAGAAAAAGGAAGGAGATCAAGTTGCAGTGGTGGTGATGGCGGTGATGGATCCGATGAAGAAGAAGAACTTCTTTTCTCCTCAGATTTCCGATGTGCGTCATCATCATCTTTCTCTCTCATCATGTTCTTGAAGTTAAGCTCTTCAAGATTTTTACTACCTCCCAAGCCCATGCAAAACCCTAAATCCTTCATCTTCTGCTGCTGAGATCTGCTATGATGATCCAACAATGAAAAGGGTTTTGGAGTATCTCCCAAGCTCAAAGCTAGTTCCATACTTTCTCTCTCTAAAAATTCTCTCTCTCTCTCTAGAAAATCTGTAATGACATGGGAACTATCTACGGACAAAGGGAGACTTATATAAATGATGTTCTAGGGTACAGTATGTACGTATTGAATTAAAGAGCTTCTAGAGAGAGAAAGAGAGGGGATAGAGAGAGATTTTCTTGAAATTGTTAAAAAAGAAAGAAAAAGGAGTTTAAACAAATGGAAATTGTATAAACACACGGCCCAACAACAAAGACAAAGTCATTTCTTTTAATGTTGTTTTGTTTATTTCCAATTAGAGCACTTGTTTTTGTTTGTTCTTTTGGTTTTTTAAAGTATCTTTCTTTGGATTTGATTTAGGGGGAAAAGATTGACCAAACACAAATCTCGGTTGACAATCGCACGTGAATTTCTTTATTTATATAGCATGCCTACTTCTTGTGACTACAAGACTAAAGAGATAATATTTGCAATATTCATACACAAAAAGATTTGGTCGAGATAGTCGTAACCAAGCAAGGCTAGAATTGTCTTTTACTTACGCAAAGAACTGAACAATGGTCTTTTACTTGGCGTTTCACAAAACCTATAGCGTAAGTTTTTATTCACATCATATCTGTTGTAGTCTAAGTTTTTAATTGCGTCAAAAAAGAAAATAATCACATGATCAAATCTGTAGTAGTCCAAGTTTTTCATTCTTCCACGTTAATTATTTCAAAGTATGTTATGTTATTTTCTTATTTTTTATCAATTTATTAACATAAATCATTATTTTAGTTTTAGAACAAAAAAATAAGACATTAATAATGATTAAAATTCTCCGTTATCTTAAAAAAAAAAAAACAAAAAAACAAAAAACAAAAACAAAAAAAAAACAAAAACACATAAACCGAAAATTAAAAGAATAAAAAATATTTACTATTCGTTCTTTCTATATTTTTGAGCTTTGTATATATGTTCAATCAAATTTAGGCAAATATTTTATGTGTTTTTGTACCTTTCGACATGTAGTTTGATAAAGATTTTATGTCTTTAAGACTTTGTTAAATATCATATTCACCAATGTTACAAAATGATTTGTTTGTTTTCTAAGAATATATATATATATATATATA